CTCTGTCCAGACACGTGTTGCCGTTCTCCACGTACGGACCGTACACGGCTTCCTGAGTGGGCTTGTTCAGCTTCAGGCGGTCGGTGGGCAGCAGAGCGGCGCCTCTCTCCTGGTGGCCGGACGAAAGCAGGTGATGGGGAACCAGGGAGCGCAGCTCTGGAAGGGAGGTCAGCGCGGGGCCGAGGTGCATGCTGGGTCCTGGAGTCTCTATGGGCTGTATTGCTTGTGTGGGCGGAGGACTGCACGATGACGGTTTCCCTAAGTCTGTGTCAGGCATGATGGCAGAAAACTGCTGCTCGGTGGTTGCAGCCGACGGTTTGCTCCGGCGGAGCGATTTAGTAAATGACGCCGGTCCGTTCGAGTTTTGGGTCTGCTCAGAGCTGGCTGCGGCCGGGCTGGAGGCAGACGGCCCCTTGCAGTGCATGTTGCTGTGCCTCCGCAGCATGGCGGAGCGGGTGAAGCTCTTTCCGCAGGTGTCGCAGACGTAGGGTTTCTCACCAGTGTGTGATCGTATGTGACGCTGTAGGTCTCCTGAGTCAATGAAGCGCTTTCCTGGACAAAAGGAAAACACCGCAGATATAAAACACCGCCTGGATTTCAGATTAAGCTGCTAGTTTTTGTGGGATTTGTCATCCCAGGGCAGCTGAAGTTCGATAAAACGGAAAAACAGAGAGAGAAAGGAAGAACTTCAATGGCTGCAGTGAGAAGTAAAAACCGTTTCTATCCAACAGAACTAAATACACTTTCTGCAATCAGTTTGAAAACTGACACAAAGGAAATTCATGTAATTGTGAAGAAAGGCCAGAAAACGACAACTCTGTATCTAATCTCTCGGTAAAAGGTAATTCCTTACCACAAGTGGCGCAGATGTGGGATTTTTCCCCAGTATGGCGGGCCTTGTGCTTCAGCAGCTTCCTGTGTGTGTTGAAGGACTTTCCACACTGGTCACAGGTGAATGTCCTGTCTGTCGCATGAGTCCTCTTGTGCTCCTTGAGATTACTCAAATTGGTGAATCCTACGCAAGAGACACGAGTTCAGCTCAGCCTTCGAAGAAACGCGTGAGCGACGAAAACGTGTTTGTTTACGCCGAGGGACGTAGCGTTACCTCTGCCGCATATGTCACACAGATGCGGCTTCTCTCCCGTGTGGACCACTTTGTGGCGCTGAACATCCCCCGATGCAGTAAAGCTGATAAAGAAAGATTTGGGTTAACATTAAAATCCGTTATTTGGCTTAAAGCTGTGTGTACGATCCCAAATGGTACACAAATTTGTACAGACGGACACATTTGACAGCTTCCGTCTTTTAGATGTGCGGAAAGCCTCATTAGTTTTGTTTTTCTTGCAGTGGCGTTATCTCACTATGATTATAAAAATTTAATTTGAGCACATTTAGTTAGTGAGGAAAAATACAATATTAGGTATTAATTACCATGCTTACTACGCTCAGGAGAAAAGGAAAGGAAAATTATTATTATTATTATAAAGGAGAATTATTAAATGAGTTGATCATACTACCTTTTACCACACAGCTCGCATATGTACGGCTTCTCTCCGGAATGTCGCCGCAAATGGGTCTGCAGGTTGCCTGCCTGCAAGAAAAAAAAATCCCCTCGATATCTCTTCACGACCCAACTATTTAAGAACAAATGTGAAATAAGAGACTATGTGGCGGGGGAGGAAATACCTGAGAAAAGTTCTTGCCGCAGACGTTGCACTGGAACGGCTTCTCGCCTGGAAGCAGAATACTACAGTTTGTGTCTGAAAGAGTCGGGTGAATTATTAAAGATGAAGTACGTTAGTGCAGACACCTCATACCGGTGTGAGAGCGCTTGTGCAGCTCCAGGTTGCTCGGATGTTTGAAGATCTTCCCGCACAGCTGGCAGCAGTACTGCTTGTGCCCCGCTTGGTGAGGAGGCTCCGGCTGAGGCTTCAGATTTTGCTCCTCTTGGTGTCCGGGTGGGGGGCTCGGGAGCTGGGCGTCCGCTGCCTCAGAACACTCCTCTCTTCCTAAAGGGCTGCTGCCGACGGGAGCCTCTGGAGCTTCATCCGGAGCCACGTCCGGAGCCTCGGCGTGGGCGACAGGTCCCCCTTGGAGGCTCTCTTTGGGACAGCTGAGGATGGGCTCGGCGACCGACTCGGCGCACATCTCCTCCAAGGCTTTCTGAGACCGGAGGTAATTGTATTTCTTCAGGTAGACGGTCTTCTTGGTACGCACGGGCTTGTTGACTGCGGAGTCGGCCGGGTCGCAGGCAGGGGTGTTTAAATTATTCGAAGGGGTCAGAGAAGCGACGCCGTTTTTCTCTGCTGATACAGATGTGCAAGGAGGGCTAGGCTGGACCGTGTTTCCTAAAACCACAGGAGCGCTATTGCCACCCTGACTCATTCCGAGCTGACATTGCTGCTCTTCCACCAATACCAGAGGCCCTTGATTTGAGGACGCACTGTTTGTCTGAATTGCACTTTGTTTGAAGTACTGCTTACTGTAGAAATTGCGGAGCTTGTAACCGTGAACGAGCTGCTTTTCTGCAGGCGCGTGGGAGCCGCTCTGTACGTCACACGTCGAGCCACTGTTAGGCACCGTCCCCGGCATCCTCCTTGTGTGATCCATGTCGCCGTAGTAGCCCGACCTCTGGGGGTCAGGCGGGCAGTGGAGGTCAACGTCATGTGGCAGGTTGCTTCCCAAAAGGCAGTCGTGCTCTGAGCTCAGCATGCCTGGGAGGGCAAACGGAGGCATCTCTACGGGAGGCGGGCAAGGCTTGAGGAAAGTGTTGCACATGCTCTGCACGTTCGGGACCTGCAGACTCTGAGCAATGTCCAGGAGAGCTTGCACGTTGTCCTGATTAATGTCGATATGGGAGGTGTACATGTAGTCCAGTATTTGGCCGATGCCGCCGACATCCTGGATCACCAGGTTGAACACGTCGTTCTTCTGACTGGGAGAGTTTTGGAACAAAGACCTGAAAAGAATCAAGCCAGAGATCAAGTAGCATGTACAGGAATATCTCGGGAAATTAGAATACCATCGAACAGTTTATTTATTGCAGCAATTCCTTTGAAAAGGTGAATATAGTATATATATTATATTGATATAGTATCAATATACTTAAAAAGTATACTGATACTTTTTAAGTATCAATATATTTTATTTTGGTTGATTATGGCTTTGAGATAATGAAAAATTTGAATTTGAAGACCAATAAAAAAAAAGATTCTTACAAAATCAAAAAATGGTTCAGACCCTTGTAAAATTACCTTCATTGAACCTACAAGTTTAATTTGGCTAAAAAATGCAACAGATATCTCAACATAGTAAATCAACCTAAATGGCTAATCTTTGGAGGGGGAGAGAAATTTCTCTGTTTCTATTTATATTTTAATAAAAAAATTAAAAAGGCAAAAGTTATTTAAGAATATTTTCAACAATCAATGTAAAAAAAAATAAAACTTTGTACGTACAACAATCAAACCCTTTTTGTAATTGTAGACCATCTTTTTGTCTGTTTCTATTGGTATTATGATGATTTATTTTCAGTGATGAGCTTTCCGGTTGTAAGGCCTCTTTGCCATCACCCTAATCTTTTGTGCACTTTACAGCTTCTTTATTAGATTGAAGAAATGTAGGCAGTGTGTAGAGGTTGTGAAATCTAATTGTACAAGTTTTCTTAGCTGTATATAAATGAACAATAACAAACATTTAAAATTACTCTGGTATTTAAAAAAATCTTATCATGATTCTATATCATTAAATGGAATTACTAAAATAAATGAACTTTTTGATGATTTGGTTGAGATGCTTGTACACATTTAGTTGTTTTTTTCTTCTTCAACATCTCACTGTAATTTAACAAAAAAAAAAAAAAAAGACATCAAGGCACCTGAAATAGGAACTGAAAGCAGCCAGGACATTTTTATGGGCTTTGAAGCAGACACCCTTCACCACCAGCATGCAGTCACAGAGAAGCCCTTGAATCCTCTGTTCCTGGAGCTGCTGGAGGAGGTAGGAGCTGTGGCTGGACAGGGTGTCCATGGTCAACCAGCTGCTGCAACTACTCCATAAAAACAAAACACAAGAGTCACGAGTCAAGAACAACTACTGGCTAAACAGACCTCTTCTTGTGCGTCTCAGGCTGACTAGTAACCTGACGGCACTTTCAAAAGCATAATGTATATCTATATCGTTCAACATCAGCGCGGAATACGGAGTCTAAGCTACGAGACCACCCATGCAAAAATTGGACGGAACAGTCGAGGTAGCGTCGAGGCCATGGAAGGTGACGTAAACCGATATCGCGCAACTCTTTGCGGAAATGTACAGATTCCACAAATAGATGTTTCCAATTATCAACAGTTTGGTAAAAGCAGGTCTTAAATTAGTCCGAATTGTAAGAAAAATATTCCCCACCTTTTATTGGGATGATCGGTCACTTTACAACAGCATAAACACTACGTCACTTCCTGGTACATCACGTATTTTGAACTATCTAAACATGGCTCAAACGGTGGCAGTTTTCTTACAAAACAAGAAACTTTTATGCTTACAATTGAACTGTGAAGCATGTTTTAAAAACCTTTATAAAACTACCGAACGTTTTTCCCAGTCACAGGCACAAACTCTATACATGCTTTCCTTGCCCCTTAGAAACGATACGTCAGCTCTTCTGCCATATTGCGTGTGGCACGTCCGATAGTTCAAGTGCGGAAGTAACGTTGAAAACTGTTTTATAAATAAAACAATTCAAAAGTTTACGTTCAGTTAAAGTAGAAGGGCAATTGATAAAAAGAAGAAAAATCTCCTTAAAATTATTTTACCCTTATTTTACCTACTTTGCATAATACTTAATATTTAAGGATTAAGATTAATCACGATTTATTAATAATAATAATAATAATAATAATAATAATAATAATAATTAATAATTTTACCTAAACATCAATATTAAGGAATTCACCCTGGTTGTTGGAATACCGATTCTTGGCACTGTTGAACTACAAGCCACTCACAACATGGTGGTAACATTGACTGACGATTCTCCAGTGACTAGATGAGCCAGGAACTCTGTTTTTCTGAGATGCGTTTGACGTCGGAGCGCTAATCTTGTAGTTCCTAAGTCCGGACATTGTCACGTGTGTTTTGAAGAGTTGATACGAAAGGAACGTGTGCTTCGCATGGTTTTCACCGAAGTTTAAGCCAGAGGTTTACTGATATCCGTCGCTACGTGCAGACGTTGTTTTTAACGGTAAACGGCATTAGCTTAACCGAGCGTAACGGCCAGCCCGGTCCTATTTAAGCGTGAAGGTTTAATCGGTTTTGGTTGGTTTTATCAGGGTGCTATTAATTTATTCCGCATGTTTGCTGCCTGAGAAGGGTCCACAGTAAAGAAGACACGAAGAGAAGCTTATCATTATGGTGTTCTTCACCTGCAACGCGTGTGGCGAATCCTTAAAAAAAGCCCAAGTCGATAAACATGTCATGAAGTGCCGTGGGTGCCAAGTTCTGTCTTGTATCGACTGCGGAAAAGACTTTTGGTAATAACTGTTTTCTTTAACCAGCTGTTGTTTTTTTTAAGATGCAGTACTGTCTAAATGTTTAAAATGTGCTTCATTTTAAACAATTCCAATGACACTCTGGCCGTATGCTTCATCTCATTATTATTGTGAACGAATCTCTCCCACATCCCAAAGCAGGTCCTGATAGGTCTTCTATCCAGCATTGCCCTCCATTTAGTTCATGTTCCTATCAACTCTAACCAGCATCTCTGTCCCCACTATATATATAAAAAACAAAACAAAACAAAAAAACAACAGCATTATTAAGTGTAATGCTGCCATTGCAGTGTTTTTGATGTTTTTAGGGCGATGCACAATTTTGTGTCAGAGCACCTTCTTCCTTTCATGCTTTGTGGCCAGTCGTTAAATTCTAACACATAAAATCGTAGTAAAATACATTACAATTTGTGGTTGAAACATGACATTGCAGAATGTGAAAGAATTCCAGGTGTTTGAAACGTTTTTTTTCGCAAGGCACTTCCCCACATTTAAGATGGTGTCTCATCTTTTCTGTGTCACACGTAGGGGTGAGGACTACAAAAACCACACTAAATGTATCAGCGAGGACCAGAAATACGGTGGGAAAGGTTACGAGGTCAAGGCGAATAAAGGAGATGTGAAACAGCAGCAGTGGTTACAGGTAAGCAGTCCTCACTGAACATTAGCATACGCGTGAGTAAAGAGGGTTGCTTCTGTTAATGCTCGTCTTGTTGTACCTTTGTCATGCAGAGAATCAATGAAGCCATGAACAAACCCGGGGTCAGCGCTAAGCTGAGAGATGTGCTCTACCAAGTTAGCGGTTATGAAAACGTGCCGAGGAAAAAGGCAAAGTTTCAGGTAGGGATTGCGTACAACGGTAAAAGCTGTCATTTTGTTTAAAGTGCTTTAAACGAAGGAGGAAAACTATGGGTGATAAATTCCTTTTTCTCTCTCTTCAGAACTGGATGAGAAGCAGTTTAAAAATATCAAACACGGGGGTACAGGAGGAGGTGTGGGACATAATTGCTGCTGCAGACAGTGTAAGTTATTTTAGCTTGTTTAATCAAGATAACCATCAGACACTTGGATGTCCCACATTTTTTTGTGCTTTGGACCTTTTGATCAGTTAGAAGCAAACATGTCTTTTTTGTATACAAGATGTCAGAAGACTTAGATTTCAGTATATTTATAAGTTGTATTTAAATGTTCTGATAATGACATATAAAAGCATTTTACTGCTTTACTTAATGTGTTAATGTTACTTGAGCCGTAGTGTTGCTGGTATTGCTGTTTTAATAATAGCAACGAGAAATGAAGCCTTGCGATCTGTAGCGCTGGCCTTTGGCATGCAAAGCTAGATAAATATATATGTCTGTTCGTTTAATAATCGATCTAAAAAATAAAATAAAATAAATGTTTCAAAATTAACTTACTTCTTTATCACCCATCTATAAGGCTCCTCCGGCCACACAGACAACCAAAGAATCTGCAGACAAGGAGGCTGACATCCGAGTGGACACCAACAGAACCGAGGACCAAAAAGAGCAGTCGAACACTGAAGAGGAGAAGAAGAAGAAGCTGAACAAAAGGGAGCGCAAAGAGGCCCGTCAGCAAAAGAATGGAAAAGCTCCCAAAAGAGATGAAAATAAAACTGCAGAAGGAGAAACTAAGAAATGCCAGACAGGCAAACAGAAAAAAAAGGATAGAAAGAGAAAATACGAGGGAGATGAAGACCAGACTGAGAACGGCGTTGAAGAAGACTCCAAGAAAACCAAGAGTAAATGACATTTTACTCCTTTAAATTTAAATGGTCTGCTGTTAAAGCATCCTTAGTTATGTTAAGTTGTTTGTACGTATGTTTGCTTCAGATTTTATATCGACTCTTGTTCTTTTGCAGTTGATGAAGCTGCAGAGTCAGAGGAGACTGAAGATCAAGCCATGTCTCAGGGTAACACTTAAAGTTCTGGCACATATTGCCATCACACTTTAATGAATATGTGTGTGGTTTATTAATTAGAACACCAAAGAAGTAAGAAAATATTTTGTATTAAGATTCCAGCAGAGGTCAGTGTCGGCTCTTTGTTTTCACCGAGGAAATGACCCTCACCAAACCTTACTATGTTTCCGATCACTCACACAGGAAAATTCAACTGGAAGGGAAACATCAAGGCAGTGCTGAGAGAGTCACCTGACCAGGAGCTGTCAGTGAAAAGACTCAGAAAGAAGGTGAGAAATTAAGCAACGCATTTCTGTGTGCATGACACACTTATTCAAGTTGACATCTGTCCTCTCTACCATGACCATCTTTAAATACAAAACGTAACTTAACATTGGGTAAGGAGTGTATTTTTCTGTCCTTTGCAGGTTTTGGCAGCCTACTACTCTTTCGCTGGTGACATAAATTTCAAAACGGAAGATGAGCTGTTGGCAGTTTTCAACAAAAAGATCACCAAAAACCCCAAGTTTAGAGTTCTAAAAGACAGAGTGAAGCTTTTGAAGTAGACTCCTCCTTTAACGGCACGTTCTCCATGAAATGAAAGTTATTATTGCTGTTCTCCTTGGTGGCTTTTTATACAAATGAACAATTTCGAGGATTAAATGGTTTTACGCAGCGAGCCTGGTCGTCGTAATCAATACACGCACGCTTGGAACACGCCAGTTCTGTTTAATGTATAAAATGACGGTTGCAACGGAAGGCTGCTCTGTTGCGCATTCCAAGCTCACGGTAAAACCGGGGAATGGCACCTTATCTGCGGGATTGGATGTTGCCGTGGGGAGGGGGATGTAGAGACGCAGAGAGAGGTGCACCTGAGCTGAATCCGACTCTTACACGGGATGAAGCTAATGCACATTCCTCCGCACTGCGAACGGGGTTCACTTGGCCGGAGACACAGAAGCTCCATAGAAGCAAGGCGCTTGGTGTCAGCCTCAGGTGAAGTTTTAATGCTTTCTGATTTTCCACGACTAGAATAAGCAGTTTCTTTACCCTGTACACACATGCTTACACACACACAAACGCGCGCCCACGCACACACTCGCAGAGAATGAGTAAACCTGCCCAGCTTTATGAAGCTCCTCTAATCCCAGAAGGTTTAACACTGATGCTCATTCACCACGCTGCTTACCTGTAACACTATATGGCATTCTCTGGGTTTTAGTTGAGCTGTTACTCAAGTTTGCTAGTATTAAAATGATGTTTTCACATTCAGCCTACGTCAGTTGGATTTAAGTCTTGTATTTTGATCCAGACCACACAGGATATTGAGTTAATCACATCTTTACTGTTTTGGAGGCAGGGAGTTGTTATAAAAACATTGCATTATTCTCATAAAACTCCAGGAACTTGTCATAAGTTGCTAGGGTCAGAAGGTCCTAGCCACATAATGGTGAGCACTATTCTAGTTGTCAACTGACTACAATGGTGTTTTAGTTATAAGATTAACAGCCTGACCACAAAGATGGTCAGTTATAACTGCTTTTCAGCTAAAATAAAACTGAACCAGAAAGTACTTACTATTTATCAGTGTGTGCGCTTTAACTTCTCACTTCAGAGAGTTCAGAAGTAGGACAACCGTGTCAGATTCTTGCTCTATGTAAAGGTATACAGTGAACTCAAGATGAGGTGTGGCACATAGCCAGCTACTATGTATTCTGTAAAGTTAATGACTGAAGGAAGGAAAATAACATGAAAAAAAATCTTAATTTTCTATTTGATACAAGATGGTAAGATAGGCTAATTCTTTATAGATAAGATGCATGGAGGCCTTTATTTACATGCTGCAGAGTACATGTGAAGTAAACCTTTTCTTGGAAAAAATGATCCTGCATGAAATTTATCTCATCTTTGTTGTTAAAAAAAGCTCAAGTTCAGTTGATTGGATAGTGAGCCTATTTGTCACTGATAAAACTGAAATATACTAGTGTAATCAAAAATAAGTAGTTTTTTTGCAGACATTAAGCATGTTGGGGAAGCCAATTCCAGTCTTGAAAAAAACTTTTCAAAGTCCAAATTTTGTTTCATCTCAGAATTATGAGATGCTAAGTTATAATTATAAAGTAGCAAAGCCAAAAATTAGAAGCTAGCTTAGTAAAATCTGTACTTTATCTTAGAAAATTAATGATTGTCACACTTATGAATATGTTAACTGTATTCAATAAGGTACTCTGTTTTCACAGTACATGGGCATTGTGTACAATAATTTGGTTATGTCTTTTTATGGTCATTACTATACAAAAAAAAAAAAAAAAAATACAACGGTCCTCGTTCTTACGTCATTGACAAGCGACGCTGCGTCCCAACAGGAAGCGTCTTCAATTCAGTTGGCTTTCAGAGCTAAAGTGAGTTGAAGAACAACAAAATGTTCAATGACAGCGAGCTGGCGACGCTGCGGAACAGATTCAAGAGAGATGCGGAGCTGCTCATGCAGACGACGACGTCGGCCGTCGATGGCGAAAAGAGTAAGCTTAAAAATGCTACGCCGGCTAACTACGTTAGCTTATTGAAGTAGTTCAGTTTGTTGGAACGTTGGAACTGGAAGACGGTAACCAGTTCACCCCTCCGTCTGTTCCAGCTGTTCCCGTCAAATGTTTTGTCATTAGAGGAGTAGTTTTAGACATAGTATATGACACACTGCTAAAAGGAGAGCAGAATTTTAAAAAAGTTAAGAGGTGCATCATACAGGCATGTATATCTATATTAAAGTCTAATATTAGTAATTTTAACTTACTGCCTCTGTCAATGTGTATAGCTGACATGGAAGTCATTTAGTTTGTGGGTTTATGACAGTTTTTGTTTTTATACACCAGTTCCCGTCAATGCAATAAACCAGTAAACATGGCACAAAAGACAATAATTAGACACCTCTTGTATAGCAAAGTTATTTATTCATCACAAAGTAATGTCTGACCTAACAATAGGGAGCGTTTCAGGAAAGTTACATACGTCTCTCAAAGTGGCTGGCTGCATTTGCAATGCTATAATAAGCATCTCTAATCATTTTGGGATTATTCTGTTTTTGCAAGCAGTGCAATCTCGGCCACAGTTCCTTGTAAAGGTTTCCATGCTCAGATTGTGTCACTCCTGACGACCACAAATTTGCGTGTGTGTTATTGCGATTTAACATGACAGATCAATGCAAATTTATGTTTAAATGTGAAGTAGAAGGAAAATGATATGGCCCACTCAGTACTTTGTAAAACTATTATTTTCTTTTTTTTTTTTTTTTTTTTTGCTCTCTGTTTAAAGTAGCTCAAGTTCAGTTGACTGAATAGTGAGCCTCTGTGTTAATCTTCAAACCTTTCTTTACATTTACCTATGGAATTGGTCTGGACAGTAGTCGGACCATTGAAGCAAATGATTTTGTTTGACCTGAAAATGGCACTTCCTACGGCTTTCTTTGAACAGTGCTTTTCTTTTAATAGTTGTCCTATCAGGTGGACGATCGTATCGGGGAAAATTGTTCAGTAACTTAATCATCCCTAAACATGGTAAATATGGGCTTTCAGAAGTCAGTTGCAAAGCAATTCACTTAAGGGTATCAAAGTAAATCAGTTCTTGTACTAATACAGACTAGTCTTTTTAGATTTTTATTTGTAAAAACAATGCTTCCCCTTTAATTTTGCAGTAATTCTGTGTTGGTCTGAAATAAAACTCCAGTAAAATACACCGAGGTTTGTTGTCTACAAGATGTGAAAACATGTATGAGGTAGAAAAATGCTTGCTACATAAACTGACCATTCTCAGTTCATCTGACTACCACAATCATTATCTCAAATTTCAGAATTAGTCCATCTGTCACAGTCTTTTACCAAATTTTTACATTAAAAACACGCCTTCAATTAAATTCTGACCCTTCACTAGATTGCAGAATGGATGTCACTACTGAATATTACTTCTTTCTTTTCCAGTATTTTTTTTTTAATTTTTAATTTTTATTTTTTAGGAAAGTGGGCAATTTTCTAGCTTTGAAGCTATCACTGGCATAAATCCAGCAATTCATAATTGTTTTAATTATAATCAGGATCTTTGTCAGCTCTGATATATGATCTAGAAACTGCTCTCATATATTCCTGTGGGTCATTGACAAGATGTTTTTTTGTTTTTTTTTGAATGGCTACATATTTTTTTCTAAACTTTAAATCTTAGTGCAGCTTCTTTTCTAGGCCAGTGAGTTCATTGGGAACTCTGCACAGAGGAGTCTAGCCACTTCAGCAGCCAAAAACAGGCTGATTAAACAGAGACGTTTAATCAGCCAGTAAATTATAGAGATTAATAGCTTTCCAAAAGGCAAGATTATCTTCAAGAAACCTATCGGTTTCACCTCAAAAGCTGCTTAAATCTGACAGAAGGAGATTTGCACATTCTGTTAAGCCAAGATAAAGCTCATATTTGCTTGTAAAAGCTATACTATAAGGTAAGATTCTGTTTCTCATAGTTTTCCAGTATTTCCTTTTGAGTTTTCATTGATACTAATACTTTTTTTTTTAAATTTTACTTCCTTTATTTAACTAGGTATACCCCATTGAGACCTAGATCTCCTTTTCAAGAGGGATCTGGGCAGAAATCTGCAACACACAACAACCTGGTCAAACGTACACCAAAAAAAAAAAAAAAAAAAAAAAAAATATATATATATATATATATACTTTTTGAAAGTTCTGAAGTTCCAGTATACAGCTCTGGTTTGAGGTTTACATCCACTCATCAATTTTAATGTCATATTTTGAGCTTTTACTTTTTATTATTATAAACATTAAACATATGATGGCTTTTACATTGCACAGGGATTGATTGCACTGCTTGCAAAAACAGCCAATTACATAAAGTAGATTTTATGTAATTGAGGTTACACCCTCAAAGATTGACATACACCGTCACTAATATTTGTTTAAATGATCCATAACAAATCACAGAGAACCTACAGGCTTCTCTGTAGCCATCAGAACGTTTCTGTCAGAATTCTGGTTTTATATTTGACCAACTACCAATGATGATCAGTTAAATTGGTGTGTGCACTGGTACATACCTGGCTTTAAATGTGTAGTCTATAGATTTTCAATGGGGTTGGGTGAGAAACCACTCCGGAAACTGAGTGTTAGCCTTATGGTCCGTGTTTATCCTTCCCCAAAAGAGTTTTGATGTGTGTTTGGGATCCTTGTCTTGATCATCAGAACCAAACTTGGACCAAACCCATCTATATCTGATTGAAGATGTATTATTATGGTTTTGATGTATTATTATGCATTGCACATTATTCCACCCATAATGTGCAATGCACCAGTCCTGCTATCAGTGATCAAACCTCACTCCATCATACTACCACCACCGTGCATGACGGTGTGTGCAGTGTTTTTTAGGTCGACAAGTCTCAACACGACTTCTCCAAGCAATCGTTCTGTTTCTGAGGATGAGAGTTTGGGTCAGATGGCTGAAACTTGGTCACAAAATTAGATTTGCCCACAGAACAATCATTTTAACTAATTTTGGAATGAATAAAGAGGGTTAAATGTAATCTTAAAACTTTTCAGGATTTGGGGCTCATGCTTACAATAGTGGTCTGTGCCTGGAAACAGCCAGTTTAAGTGAGTTTTACCAATTCTGCCAGGAATTACAGAATTACAACAGATGCTTGATGATTATAAAAATCAGCCACTTCTTAAACAACATTTGGGCAAATGTTAGTGTTTGTAAGTATGTATTTGTAGGAATAGTTTTGACCCAAGGTAGATTAGAGCCACAAAGGTAAATCCACATTAAGTTAAAACTTAAGCACCCAATTCTTTTTTGTTTGTTTGTTTTTTAATTCTGTATTGCATGGAAGTCTTCTTAGAACATAATTACTGTCAGATGTGTTGAGTCGCTACACTTTTCCAACTTTTGACGTGTGTCACCTTTCAGGTCAGGAGGAAAAAGATCTGAAGCCCCTTCCTCGCATCAACAAGCACTCCGTTTTCTGGATTGTGGCGTCGGTAGCTGTGACGTACTATGCAGATTTCCTGCACGTCATTATGGAGAACGATGATGTCAAAAGGTAAAACCGATTTCCCAAAAATACTTTAGCATAAGTCGAAACTAGATTTAGTAGGCATAAAATTTCACACATTAGCATTGTGAATTTTAAGATATTTTTAGCCAAATCAGAGCAGAAGAATGAAGACATTAAGTTATCGTAACTATGGAGACAGTGTAGCTTTAAAGTGGTGTAGATAAGTGACAAAAAAAGTACACCCCTTTCCAGATATACTACTTTACATCCTAAAGCATAAATAAAAACAATCAGTGTTCTTATAATTACTGTGCATTTGTAATACTAAATAAAAAAGGACATGATCAGGTCAAAGAGGTCTAATATTAGGGTCATTTATTCCCTAAATTTAATAACATGGAATATAATGGTTTCACAGTATAGATTGCACAGAAAAGTAAACATTTACACGTCATGATCATGATCAAAGAGGATCAGTTACACAAGGTAATTAACTCATTCAGCATAAGTTCATGTACTGCCGGGTTATTTGCTATTAGAAGAGACAATATGCTTTGTGTCTTGTTTGTAGCTCATGACCCTTCAACTTTACATTCCCTCAAAATATATTCATGTCTCATTTTTGCCAAAGTCTGACTCAGATCATCTCTTGCACTTTGGCATACTGATTATAATTAAGTAATTAATAGGAGTGTAATTGAGAATTATCCATTAAATCTGGTGAAGCTGAGATTAAACACAGAATAAAATTGCTAAAAAAAAAAGTTGTTACAGGAGGCTAATGTCTTCAGGGTATTTGAAATGCTGTGGCTGGACCTTTAATGAACTGGGTGCAAAATTGCAACAAAATTAAAGTCACGAGACAATTTGTCTTAGTTTTAGCCTTAGTTTTCTCAAGTTAGATTCATAATTTGGTAACTGACAGTTAATCTAAAAAATGTATACACCTCTGTCAAACTGAGTAGGACAAAAATTAAGATAAGATAAATCATTTTAGAAAACTTCTGCTTTCATTTTGATCTTGTGCAATTCGGCAGAAAAAAATAAATCTACTTGAAGAGAAATGTACAAAACAGTAAAGCTGCAGCAACCTGGTTGGATTGCCATGGAAACCTTCCATTATCTACTGAATTCATTTAGATATTTGATGTTTTCAAGTTCACATTGTCAGGATTTACAGTTAATCTGATTAATTTGAAATAAGGTTAAGTGAACAATGGTGGATTTTTAAATTTTTTTTATAAATGCTCATTTACATTTTTTTTTTTAGTTTTTTCATCTAAAATCATAGTTTTCAGAAAAGTTCCAAAAGATCTCATTGTACAAAGGTGTCAAGTCAAGTGTCAGTCTGTCAAGCAAAGCATTGTGCGTATAACAATGGCACAAAGAAGACAGTCATTAAAAGTTTGGATAAAAATGGGACAGTTACATTACAGAAACTGGATGTTCTTCCAGAACTGATAAAAAGACGAGACACGAGCTTGTCAAGCAGAATGCCAAAAAAGGCGACAGCAACACTGAAAGATCCGAGGGAAGAGGTCAGGTTGCAAAACAGCAGGAAGAAAAAACCTTAAACAAAACAAAAAAACACCCAGGACTGGCTGAAATTTCACAAAACCTGGTGACAGAATGTGTTCTAGTCTGATTAAACCAAAGTTGAACTTTTGGGTCACAGTTGACAAAAGCACACAAAACATATTTGCTCTCCACTCCGAATCATTAGGTTAAACTTTCCATCTCCTAAACATGGACGCACAAAGGGTGATGCTAAATCCTATGGTTTGAAAATGGTATGTGACTCAAGTTCATATGTGTGTGAAGGCAGACAAGGGAATACATCTGGCAGTATAATGTATGTTTGGTACAAATGCAATGCTGTGTATCAGCAAAAGAAGGTGAAGTCCCACCGTGCTCTGGACTTTTAATCAACACCTCTACATGTGAGTGTAACACCTGTTTTATCTTCTTTACTTTGGCTTCCTGCTCTTTTTAGAATTGACTTTAAAATGTTACTGCTTGTTTTTAAAGCTCAACTTTACTTATCTGAACTTTTTAGTCTTCCTGTACACGGGAGAACCCTGAGGTCATCAAACCGACTTTTATTAGACGTCCCAAAAACTAGGCTAAGGCATTGAGGTGACTGGGCCTTTTCAGTGGCAGCACCCCGACTCTGCGACAATCTCCCTCTACACCTTTGCTCCACCTCTGACCCCAAAGCTCAAGACTCATCTCTCCAGACAGGCTTTTAATACCATGTAGCGTTGTGGCATTTTTCCTTATTTTTATTGCTGCTTTTGTGTTTTTGGTAACTCTTTATTTGACTTTGTGTGCATAAGACTGACATAGCACCTGTCATGAACATGAAGAAGTATTTATAAATGTTTGACAGTTGTCATGAAGTGTCATTTGGTAAATGACACTTTTAATGCAAAGTTGCTCTAAAAGTTACATTGAAAGTCCATTAAAAGTGCCAACTTTGCATTAACTTGTCATTGAAGTCACAGACATTCATAAAGACTCTTTCATGTTCATGACAGGTGTCAGTCTTCTGCACACCCCATCACATAAAGTGTTGCCGTGTTTTGTTGTTTGTTTTTTTTTTCTTGTGAGAAATCTTAGAGAAAGTTTAAGAGGTCACCCGTAGCAGGCTGTGGACTAATCGGATCTTATATGTTTTGAAAACTTTTGCGAAGAGTAGATAGACCGATGCAACATACTAATAGACTTCTACCAAAGAAGACTGAACAAAAGGTTGCTTCAAAAATGTATTTTATGGGTGTGTACACTAATGCGCAGGATAAAATTACCACATTGTGTCTTTATTTTCTGCTGTGATAAGTAGTTTAAAAGGAGGAAGGATTGTGGATTTGTATTCTTTATATTGCACGTAAATATCAAGTTCAGACATTCACATTTTAAGAAAGGAGCTCTGATCAAATAGTGCTTAGTCATTGTCAAACATTAGTTTTTTTTCACTCAGGAACTTCTTGAACAGTGGATTCAGTACAAAAGAAACCACTGATATGTGATACTGCAGGGAGGCCGTGATGTGATACCCTATTCTGTTTCTATTGAACATGTACAGCTGATGGAATAAATGCACCTTCCCTTGTTTTTTCAGCTGGTGGTTTAACGTCGGTCTGATACTCCTTGGGATCTGCTTGTGTCTGGCTATGTTTTGCATTGTGTACCTGGAGTGGTTCAAAGGCATTCAGCACTATGACCAGGAGTACCCTGCCATTCCTCCCATTACCACTGCGGCCTTTATTGCTGCATCGTGCAGGTAAAACACACACAGGAAGAGAGAGAAAAACGCAAGTGTATGTTAGCTAAAGCTGTATTTTGTTCTAAAACACCTAAAATTCAAGGACAGGTTTTTGCTTCTGCAATATGGAAGAATTTTCCCGCCCAAAGTAGCTATGTTTCCCCTTTAAATGACCTTATAATTTTTTTTTAGTAGTAGGAAATATAAAAATTTTATTACAAAAGATTTTGCTGCCCAGTCTATCGATAAGACATACCACTATATTTAAAAAAAATTCTAAAGAATACTAAAATGCTTAAAGTCTTGTTAGTACTTTAAGCATTTTCAAGACAGTAATAGGTTTGCATTTAAAAAACAAGGGTGATACAGTTGTTCAACATTAGTTTAACTTGATTAAGAGGCCAGTATATTCTGTTAACTTGCTATTTTCTTTGTAATGACTGTATGTTTATAAAGGTAAATCTAAATCTCAACAAACTAACAAACCTTTTCCAACAACAAGTTTTTTTGGTATAATTTTCTCCCACAATTACTTCCACAGTATGATGCAGGACTAAATCAGATTGCCAGGGTAGAAATGTACAGAGTGACATTAATAGGGAGGTAGTACTTTGAAGGCAAACTCGGAACCAAGAATGAAGGATGATAAAAAAAAGAAAAAAAAAAGAATATCCCCTTCGTTTTCTTTCCGTCACGTTGCAGGATTTACTCCTTTGCAGTTTTAAGATTTTCAAACTTAAAAGTCAAAGTCAGCTTTATTGTTTAACGTAGATCCAAGTTGACATTTCCATCCTCACGGACCCACGGTGCAGCTTGCTGAAACAGCATCTGAAAGCAAGCACCATAACAACAACAAACAAGCAATAAAATAAGATGTAAAATAACCAGAAGTAACAATGTGGTAGATGAATAAAGTATGGTCCCTGATGTGAGCTGGCGATGCTGCTGGTGTGTCTTGAGAGTCCATCAGCTTCTCGGGAAATTACAGTATTATGCAAGACCAGTACAAAAATATTTTTAGTCCAAAAATGTTCAGTTAATGAACATTTTTTTGAAAAAGTTTTGCCTTTGCAATCAAAGGCAAAACTTCTTGATTTTTGGGGCAAATTTTCAAGGATTGAGCGTAAGACAGATGGATGCAACTAGAACAACAACATCCTTTGCATGAATGAAAAAGGGCTGCACTGTCACTCTGTGGTCCAAAATTAGGACTGCGTGGTTTTAGAAAATTGTGTTATGGCGATGATGATGTTCAAAATTGTCATGATGATATCAGTTGTGATATATTCCTGTTATTTTCTTTCCTCTCTTTCTCAGCACTTTGGGCAATGTCATTTGTGTTCGGTGTGAGCGTCTGCCTCTGTGAGACTTGGCCCAACTGGCTAAACGCTGGATTAGCATGTAAAATGCTAGTTTGTTACTTCACTCTAAACAGTGTGATATGAACATTGCACATTCTGATGTTGGAGTGACCATACGTTGTCAATGTATTGGCAACTCTATCCAAAATCCTCTTTTATCATGAAGGGACATTTTGAATTTGATTTCTACATCAATATTTCAGAGTTTGGAGGAAGAATGAAAAGGCACAGAATCAAGTGTTTGGTCCAGTCATGATTAATTTGCGAGCCATTTTAGCTGGTGTTGGTGGGTTGTTGTGCTTCTTTTTTTTTTTTTTTTTTCCAAGTCCAAGGTCAGCACCGCCATTTACTAGAGAATACTTGAGCTTTACGGAGATGTGGATGTTCTTTCCTCGCAGGACTTGGAACTTTTAGACTTTAGAATTTTTAGATTTTCTATAGCTGCAGTTATTCATCACATAGATAAATTACAGATAATTCATTACATTTTATTTTGCTATTTAATTTTAGTTACTAATTGGCTACATTTTCCAGTTACATTGCATAATATAATAGTGTTTAGTTCATCCAAATATTAATATCTGCATGCTCTGCAATGACGGCCTGTGAAAAGCTCACTTAGCCACTCAGTGGCAGATCTGTTAAGTTTGATTACATGTGTTGTTTTGTTTTGTTTTGTTTTTTTCTTGCAGCTTTAATATTGCACTGTGGCCAGTGTGGTCCTTCTTCACTCCACTAATCCTCTTCACACAGTTCATGGGCGTCGTCATGTTCATCTCTTTGCTTGGATGAATGATGAAAGGTGAGAACGATAAAACTTTGTGGTCATTTTTTACTTTGTTTTTGATATTTGCTTACTGTATTAATATTGTCATTAATTTGTTGAAGATGTCGCGCATTACATAAAGGGTTTTATAGAAAAAAAACTTTTATTTGCAATTTTACCTTGGTGTTGTTGACAAGTTTAAGACCGCACACAAGACCATTTAAAAGTTTTTGGCTCTCCTTCTTTTTTGGTTTATACCTTGTAAAAATAAGTAAATAAAAAAAAAGTTGGTGGAATAACTTTATTTTGAACAGTCACACAAATCTAGAAACTATTTACAACAGCTCACCTGAAATGAGGAGGGAAAATACAGAAAAGTTCAAGTAGTTCTATGTTTAAAATAGCAAAATTTAATAATGATGTTATCAGTCTTTCATGATTAGGAAAGCTGTGTCCACTGGAGAACTATTTTTATGAAGGCAAATGTCTCATGCCAATATCTGTCCCTTCATTAGTGTAAAATTGCAAACAGTTTAGGTTTCTGAATATCTAGAAAGCAAAACGTGAAACTGGACTAACTTCAGAAAGCGGTGTAGCGAAGCCATGTGGGTTTGGGATTAGGAAGCAAATGTGAATCAGGTGGCGGTAATGAATCTGGAAACTACACTGCTCAAAAAAATAAAGGGAACACTCAAATAACACATCCTAGATCTGAATGAATGAAATATTCTCATTGAAATCTTTGTTCTGTACAAAGTTGAATGTGCTGACAACAAAATCACACAAAAATCATCAATGGAAATCAAATTTATTAACCAATGGAGGCCTGGATTTGGAGCCACACACAAAATTAAAGTGAAATGTTCCCTTTATTTTTTTGAGCAGTATATTACATAAGGAGGAAAACGTATATCAGCTCAGCCTAAAAACACAACTAGGTTCTTTGGAGTCAAACTTGTAATCTCAGATGGACTGACAGACAGAGGACAACTGTTCTGTGGTCAAACGAGTTCATGTTTCAACTTTCTTATTTAAAATCACACACACTTTTGCTGTTTGGTGCCAAACATGTATCAGTGCAGACAAAGGGTCATAATTGTATTTTGGAGATAAACCTTAAGGTTATGTCTGGTGAAATGGGACAATTCTTATTTATTTATTTATTTATTTGCATTACAACGGTCACAGTGTGCGTTTCTGGCTGATATCCTTTCAGTTCATATTGGTCTTCTGTTGAAAGTGGTGCAAAACGAGACCCGAGTTGAACACCGAGGACTGCAAACTGTTCAGCTACCGCTCGGATCTTATAAAGTGTAAATAATTTACACTCTATATGTAATAAATTTGCTGGTAGCATAAAACTTCTTTTCCACCCTAGCTTTAAAAAGGAATGCAGCTGTCAGACGGTCTAATTAAAGCATTGCTGTTCTCCAATTCATTGTGAACCTTCTTCACCTGCAAAATGTGATGCCATCCTTTCTGTTCCATCTTTTTTAGGGCAAAACGCCAGAAATGAGAAAAAGCAAGGCGTTCTCCCCAGGGTTCCCCGCTTCTCTAAATCTCTCACCAACTCAGTTTATCTACATGCAAAAGACTGATCCAAACTCACTGCTTTAAAGTGGCATTGTTATTGTGATGTTCCTTTGTATCCTTCTGCTTTTTGTGTTTGCAACACACATTTGTAGTGTATGCGAACATCTAAAATGCCAAGATACTTGATGCTAGAAAACGAAAGGTGTTTATTTTTAGGTTAAGACATCTGCTGACACTTTATTGTGTTTTCTACTGTTTTAATATTTTTTTAAATAAACTCTTGCAACCATTTTCAAGGAATGTGTGAACTTGACTCAGCTTTAAATGAACATAAATTTAAATGTGTTAACTGGACCCAATTCCTTTGGGATACATTATGTTCTCCAACAAAACATTTCTGTCATCTGCAAAGTGAATTTTGGACCTCAGATAAGCCTGTCACAATAATAAATTAATTGAATGGTAAATAAAAGGAGCTCAATAATTTCCATTCTGATTTTGTTTGAACTGCAGTTTTGTTTGCAGAAACACCATTATCCATTTTATCTGTGGTTTCGGTTGTGTGTGGTTTTCATTTCCACTTTATTTATTGTTTTTGGTTGTCATGTTTTATTCTCCAGCTTCCACTGTAAAATGTTCTCCTCCCCAGGGTTAATAATAAAAGTTTATTGGTCTTTTAGAGGGCAAACTAGCACTATTGTGCCATTATCGATATATATTTCTTGAGGAAGTAAAACGATATTATCGTTTATCGCAATAATTACTGGGAGAAGTTATTGTCCAATAAAAATTTATCATGACGGGTTTAATCTCAGTCAGTTCTGTCTCGGCCTTTGAAAAGCAGTTTAGATCAATATTTCACTTGAACCTTCTCGTCATCACCTCCACCTGAAACGGCAGCTGCTGTGTCCGAAACGTTGCACAAAGGAGACATACTTTCTTCTGAGCGTGAATCTCAAATTTAGGAATCCGTTGATTCTCAGTGGGGTGGAAGTAGCGGAACACAGGAAGACGTTTTATTCGACGTCGTTTGAGTCCCATTCTGGCCGTCCAACTAAATTTCAGAGACCAGTCAGTGTGTTTTGGCCCATTTTCTCTTGGCTTTTGCTTCAGGCACTTGACACTTTGCACTTTTGCCTCCTGGAGAAGGAGGAGGGCGGGGAGGCGGTCAGCACCGGAGGATAATGAGGTCCTGGCGGCTTATCATAATAGCTCTTCATCTCCATTCCTACTCAAAAACACACAATTTGCCTAAATTACTTTTTTTTTTTTAAATAGGATCTCCCCCAAAACAGATGCATGCAGAGCACATGTCAAAATGCAAGACCCCCAGGCAAAACAAACTCCATCCAGCCTCAGCTAGAATCCAGATGGCCACATAAATAGAACCCATAAATATTTATTTATTAATCTAATCAAATTAGGTTTTATTTGAATAGTGAGAAGATGTTTAATATATTGCTTTCAAAATGCAGAGAAAACTGTAGTAATCCAACTGTTTTATGGATAGTTTTACATTCTGCAACAACCGGCCCTTAGAGGGTGTTTATTATCTTGATGTGGCCCAAAATGAATATTAATTTCACACCCCTGATGTAGGAACACTGTGTAACTGACAGATTTTTGTTCAGATCAAAGGCCCTTGTGAAAACATAACGTTTTGGGTAGCGGTATTATCAAAACCAGATTTGTCTCAGTTTTACAATTTTTTTTTTTTTTTTTTTGCAAATTCTAATTTTCAGGATAGCCCAGGTAGATTGGAAGTACACCAGACCTGTGTCAAATCTTTGCACACAGATGCTTGGTTGGATTTAGGTGTGGGCTTTGACTGGACCAGTAAACATCAAATAGCTTCAATCTAAAGCAGTAGTAGCTCTGACTCTGATGTTCAGAGCCGCTGCCTTTATATTGTCAGCGATTGTTTCTGTTTTAAACACCATTAAAACGATACAGGAAGAGGAAGGGTGGCTGCTGATTGCGTTCCCACATAATGGTAACTTCAGCAAGCAGAAGACATCGAGCAAAAGGCCAAACATGCATCCGAACCTTGCGGCCTAAACGTCACCGAATTGTTTGTCTTGATTGGCCTGAAGCGCGCACCCCCCCCCCCCCCCAAAAAAAAAAAGATTCAATCAGTGTTTCCAACTTAATCTGTCCCTCTCCACAGCCTGCTGATGAGGAACGGATCTTCTCTCTGTCGACATGTTGATCACCAGTGATCAAGTCAATACTCAAACGGATGACTTTAATCTGCAGCGCGGTAACACAAAGTTCATCCCACTAAAGTTTTTTTTTTTTTTGGGGGGGGTAAGTGTTTTGCCACAAATCTTGCTTTCTTCTCCACCACGTTGTTCAGCGACTCATTCAGGACGTCCCGGTGCGGCGTCTATTTTATCTGTTTGACCCACGAAGACGGGAGCTGGGATGATGATGGGATCACTTGCTGTAGATCAGCGCCGAGGTTGTCGACTGCATCGCGTTGGGAACCAATCACATGTCAGTGAGACCCGCGATTTAACGATGTTCAGCAGGACCCAGAAACATCTAGTGATCGTCTTTACCCCCCCCCCCCCCCCCCCCCCCCCCCCCCCCCCCCCCCCCTTTTTTTTTTTTTTTTTTTTTTTATTTTTTTTTTCA